ATGGGAAAATCGGCCTTAAGACCGGTTATATTGGGGTATTTATACCTCCCTTGAACGACATCGTTTAAAGGAGGGGCCCCGTGTAATTTTGCGCAGGGGTTAATTATACCCGCAGTCACTGTAATTTGAAAACGTTGCAATTAATCCCGAAAAGCATATTTAATTTGGTATTCGAATTTTAGTTCATTATAATTTAGTCCCTAACATAATTATGCATATTTTAGATAAAATAACAGATTTAGCCTTGTAATTTTATTAATTTATGCTTTAATCTCGAATAATTAATTAGGTTAAATCATATTGTTAATCTCTATGTTTAATATTTTTCGAATTAGAGCTTTCAAATTTGATCTTTTATGATTTAATCTATAATATTTTAAATAAATTTTATTTTTAATCATAAATATTATATTATTTATTTAATCCTATATTTTTAAATTTTTAATATTTATATCTATATTTTAATATTAGGAAATGATAATATTTATTTATTTTTTAATATTAAGAAAGGGTTTATCTTAAAATAACTAGATATTCGTTTCTGATATTTTTAAATAAATAAAAATCCTACTTATAAAATAGATATATTTACTTTAATTTTATAAATTATTTTTAGGAAAAACTATTATATTTTTATTAATATTTATTTATTTTTTAATATTAAGAAATGGACTGTTTAAAGTAACTAGATGTTTTTTTCTGATATTTTCAAAAAAAAATATCCTATTTATGAAAACCTAAAAAATATATATATATATACTTTAATTTTATAAAAAATATTTTTTTAATATATTTCCTTATAATTATCCGATTGAATCTGAAATAACACGATTATATATTAAATATATATCTGAATTATTAAATTTTCACTAATAGAGACAATTTATAACTAATGTGTACCAATTTTGGGCGTTATAAGGGTGTTAATCATTCCCTAAACGTAACCGACCACAAATTATTTTTTATTACTAAAAGGAATGAATTTTTTGTTATACACAGACATGTTTATCTTTAAAATTATATTTTCTTAAAAATTATTTTAAAAAATTGTATTTAGGTATTCGACCTACTTAACTTAAAAGGTTGATGACGACTTCCAAAACATTTTTAATATAAATCATTTATATATTCATATACTTTTCCCGCTAAGAAAATTAGTGTCCGGGCGAAAACGGGTTACCAAAATCTTTATTTAGAATAAAAGAGATATGTCCGAAAATCCCAATTAAGAAATCTAAAATACTCCATTAAAATTATCTTCAAGCTTTCCTGCTGCCCGTCATTTACAAATTCAAAAAGAAGGAACTATATATGAATTCAGAAAGAAACATTTTTTTCTCAGCATCCAAACAGATCAAAGAAAAAGAACGTCCAAAGATAAAATCTATATGAAATGAAATATAACCTTGGTTGATCGATCAATCGAGGTGATCGATTTAGGTTTGCTTCATTGCATGGCCTTTTTAACGCGGTTCTTGCCGCTAAGGGGAGAGGAAGGCAAGATCGGTTTGGAAACCAGAATCTCGCTCAAAACCCCACCAACGGCGTCTGCTCCAAAGACAACCTGGTTGTTATCGGCTGCCACGATGAAATCTTCTCCAAGATGCAAATCTTCCTCTCTTATTCTCAAAACCTGACTGTGAAGTACTAGTGTCTCTACTTTCTGCTTCACCTGCAGCACCACCGACCTCGGAGACTCCAACTCCGCCTCCTCCGTCGATGACTCTCCGCTCTCCACCTCCATTGAGTTGTGACTGTCGTTGATGTCCGATTTGGCGGGGAGAATTTTATATATAGAGGGGGGAAAGGAGATAAAAACGGGGAGTTTGGCGAGGCAAGATCACGTGGTTGACTGAAATCAATTATTCAATAACCGTTGCCCATTTCAGTAGCCAATGGAGATTTTTTAGGGTTCTAATCACTTGCCAAGTCATAACCATCTTCTTCAATAAAAAAATCAAAATCTTACTTAGCATTCATGCTTAAACAATTATTGAGTACATATATACATTTGAATATGAGGATACACACAAATCAAACGATTTCACTGATTGAAAGTTAAGAGTCTAAACATTTCCCGTCAAATGGTGAAGAATTTTTAAACATATATTATTTGTATTCATTTTAAATTTATATGAAAAAGAATGTGAAGATAAATTAAAAAAGTTCTTTAAAAGATTGTTAATTCCATCAATATTCTGCCTAAAAACAACTAATTTAAATATTTTAATCTCAAAACAACTAAATTGCTCAATTAACATCAAATCCGACAAAAAAAAAACAGATAACAACATCCACTACAGTACAGGTCTCAAAAAAAAAAACTCAAACCATGTCTAATAACACGAAGTAAATGGTAAAGTTCGAAACAAGGGCGTTTTTAATGGTTCTCTAGAGGTGGTAGCGGCATAAGGTTTACTCGTCTTCCTCTTCATCACCGTCTCCGCCAGCGGCCTTCTTGGCAGCAGCTCTCTGGTTCTTTCTCTTCACTCTTCCGGGGCGGCCACCTCCAAATGGACTTGTAAGAGAGAAGTCGATATGTTTTTGGGAGTCAACCCTCACCATGAAGGATGGGATGTTAACCACCTGACTCCCAACCCTATTAAGGTAAAGACCAAACATCAGGATACAACAGTCAGGGCATCATAATATCTTTCGGACAACCAAAGCATGGATCGAGTCACATACGTATTCAAGTAGCGTTTACATATATGCCTACATATATGAAACTGATCAAACAACTTGCATTTTATACTCAAAGACAATGCAATAAATCAAACTACTTGCATACTAGAAGCCACATTGGCACATCAGCAATCAGCCAAGGGGGTTTTTTCCCATTATTAAAAAAAACTAGAAGCAGTCGAACCCGTTAATTCTTCTAAAAGAAAGAAAGCTCTATAAGTTTAGTATTATGAAAGGAAATCTCCTTTATCCCAAATGGTGAGTTAGCTGATTAAGCAAATTCATCAGATAAGAATTCGTAAACATACTATCGGGCAAACAGTCATCATTCATAAACACATAACAAAAGAGGTTCGGCACACATCGAGCAACGATCATGATGCAATAGAACACTTATCAATATAAAGTTAAAAGATATACCACATGCAGTAAAAGAGAATAGCTGCATATCCTATGAATATCCTAAATGTCAGACATAAACACTGTAGCCACACAGGCATGACTTCTGTCTTGAATTTTAAATGCATCAACAAGCACATCCATGGCTTCAGTCGACCAACAAGATATGAAACTAAACCGCTGACGAGAACAAAGTAAAAGTTACTTTCTTTATAATTTCCTATATATAAAAAATAATAAGATCTCTGGAAATGGTGAAACGAAAAGACAGTTTCTTTCATGAGCCTAAGGTTTGATATCTTGAGCTGACTTGACCATCCAAACTAGGGAGCAAGTGATTAAAACCTTGTAGCAAAAGCTTCAGCTGACACCGAAATAACCCATTTATCTTTGGTTTCCATCGTTTTATTGATTTCGTATTACCTAACTTCATTTCAATTTCAGATATCTTCCTCAAAACTTTAGTTGACCAGAGACAACCTATTTATCCCTCCACCATTTTTCACCTGAGAAAATAATACAACTACCACTATAATGTAGAAAAGTAATTTTTTTGAATCTACTAACTCCCAAACCTCTAGTTTGCATATGCTTATACCCAGACTTAAAACACACGCGCTTTACTTACAATTGAGAATTTTTTTTTCTTTAGTTCTTGGACCATAATTTTTACTATGCTTAAATATCACAATTGATTTTACTATGTTGATTTGCTGTGAATTTGCTTTCTGGGTTTATTTAATTTCAGTAAAACAAAGAGATTTTTTTGCAGATAGTTAGATATAAGGGAACCGAATAGTATTAAACTTTTAAACTCTTGATATTGCTTTGATCGTTCTTTATTTCTATATTATTGTTTGTGTGCAGCCGTATTTGGAGCAGTTTTGTATGTAATATCCACTTCGATTCCAAGTATAACAGTCATAACTATGGCGACTTAAATTGCAGGAAACAATCATAAACTTGCTTCACTTTTGCTCATAATTCTTGGTGTTAGCTATATGTTATTGTTTTTGTCCTATAAGGGTGGATATAATCTATTCTATTTTCAAATTAAAAAGTTTAGGTTTAAATTTGATACAAAATCATTGTTTAATGACATTTGATTTTTTTAACAGTAGTTTAAGGGTAAAACTGAATATTAACCTTTTTTATGTTGTCACGTCAGCAATTTGACGGAGATAAAGGTGGAGTGACCATTTCGTTATAAATTGATAAAGTTTGTGATCAATTTGTTACTTTTGAAACTTTAGTTGGAGAAAACGAAGACTTGCTCAAACATTAGTGATCATTGGTGTAGTTTACCCTTAAAGAAATTAGCAATATGTCACCAAGAAATTATTTTATTAAAAATCAAATATTACAAGTATTAATGTAAAAAAGTAATTTTGATTTAGTGTTGTCTCCTCCCTTTTGCTTCCGCTCTTATAATCAATGGAATCCAAAACTTCACATCAATTGTGACATTTACTTGTTGAATATTTAATCTTGTAGTAATTACCAGGTCATGAATCTGCTCCTCTTCCTTATCCAAGGGGAAATATTAATTATTAATTAATTTTATTAAAAAAGGGAAAGTAAAATCTAATTCGAGATTTAATATTAATCATGAATAAATAATCTTTTATCAACATAAATAAATAATGATCAATTAAAGAATAATTATTTTAAAATTTGGCATCAAAATTATAATGAAAAGGTTTTACTCTAAACGATTTGAATAGAAATCTGAACTTATTGTGTAAAATTAACAAAAAACTATTCAATCAAAGATCAATTCAAGCAAACATATTAAATAGGATGATATTGGAAGGGTGGTTTGTCATTTTGCCTGGTTTTTCATGATAAAAACAAGAGAGTTGAAGCTCATGAAAACAGTTTTGATTTGAGTCCCCAAGTTTTCATACAAACTTCTCTCTTTCTATATGATGAACATGGATGATGTTGATAAAGTTGATGATGTGATGTTGCCTGGTTTTCGTTTCCACCCAACAGATGAAGAGCTTGTCGGATTTTACCTAAAGAAGAAGATTCAGGAGAAACCATTGCCCATTGAGCTCATTAAACAAGTCGACATTTATAAATATGAACCCTGGGACCTTCCAAGTGAGTTTTCTTTTTCTGTTTGGCTCCCTAGAAAATTTTCTTTTTGTATGACAAGATCCTACTTTTGACCTTATTTTTGTATGAGCAGGGCTAGCTGCATCAGGGGATAAAGAGTGGTATTTCTACTGTCCAAGGGACCGAAAATACCGGAATAGTGCAAGGCCTAACAGAGTCACAGGAGCCGGGTTTTGGAAGGCGACCGGAACAGATAGGCCTATATACTCATCTGATGGCACAAGATGTATTGGCTTGAAGAAGTCCCTTGTGTTCTACAGAGGCCGAGCTGCCAAAGGGATGAAAACCGATTGGATGATGCACGAATTTCGGCTTCCTTCGATGTCGGACTCAACGTCGCCATCGAAGAAGCTCTTGGACAAAACATTTCCTGCAAATGTAATGATATTTGAATCGTGATTTTTGCTATGTTGTTTGATTATGAAGTGTTTGAAAAAATTATTTGCCTTGTTCCCAACAGGACGCATGGGCCATTTGTAGGATATTTAGAAAGACCAGTCCCATGGCTCAAAGAGCTCTTTCCCACCCTTGGATATCCTCATTGCCAGAGATTGTACCATCTGATATACTCCACCATGGTCGGTTCGGTTTGGAAAACATTTCTTGCACTACTGAAATAGGATCAACCATGCAGTTAGGCAGCAACGGTGAACTGCAACAAGGCTGCACTGCCGGTTTTTCGGCTCTAGATATTCCCACGTATAAACCATTCCATCAGACAGTTTACAGGCCATCTCCATTTCCTGTGTCCAATGGAGAACTTCATAACAACTTGATGTTTTCTCAGCTTGACAACATGTCTGGATCATCCAACAAGTGCATTGTTGATGCCTCTTCTGTACTGTTGAACCCACCAATGATTGCCAATGTTAGCAAGGGCTCAGTGAGTAACAATTTCGGAGGTAAACAACAGGAATACAGTGGCTTCTCGATCGGCTTGCTCCAAGATATGCAAGGTAATGGAGGTGTAGTGGAGAGCAAGGAAGGAACGACGAAGAACTCAGATTCAGTCCTGGATTATAACCATTTACCGATGAGCTTTCCTTTTAGATTGTCTCCAAATGTGACGGATTCATTGGATTCACCGCAATGCCCTAGTGAAATGTCCACCACTTATTCAACTGATAACTGCTACACTTAAATCAACTAGTATCAAAACTATTTCCAGTATTGTTGTACATTTTTGACATTTTCCTCGTTATATGTATTGTTTGTATAAAGATATCATGTCTGAAAAATAGATTTAAGGTTTACATTTAGGATGGAGTAGGGCTTAAACAAATATGTATTGTTTTCATACCATCAAACATAAGACCAACTCAAACCTTCACGAGCCGAGCAACAGTGTACAACGGTCGAAACTCGAAACATAACTTCTAAGCTGATTAGAGATCATCAAAACTATCTTGTTGCAGCTTTGTAAGGGAAAGCTAACCACAAATGAGCATGCTACAATTGCAACCATATTATATTTCTGTTAACCAACCTAATTCTTTAACACCAAATATAGCATGCAAACCCAACTGAAAATTCGTTTTGCTAAAGTTGACTCGAAACACATAAAACTAACCAAATTCTTATTTAGGGTTTAGGGTTTAGAGATTCAGAATAAGGGGTTAACACATCTGGGTTCAAGGATAAAACAAATGCAAGATTGGTGCCTAATAAAAGAAACCACGTCAACAAAATAAAACCATCATTAAACAATAACTTCATAATCGATACATCGTCAAGTGAACAAGCAGCAAACTGATCAGTATGAAACTACCTAATAGGAAAAATATTGAAAGTTCTACATTTTCATCAATCACCATTATAACAAAAATAGAATTTCTAACGGGTAAAATCCAACAAACCAAAAACAATTCGGCTTTCATCAGAAATAAAATTTCTAGCTCTTTGAGGATTGCTTTTCCTTTGCCTTCTGGATTTTGAGAACCTTCTTCACAATCTTTTGTTCTTCAACCAGGAAGGCCCGGATTATCCTTGGATAATAAAAAACAGAGAGATAAAAATAAGAATATCATCAATCGCTTCGAACAAACAATCAAAAACCAGTTGTACCTTTCTCTAACAGCACTGCCTGACAAAACACCACCATAGGCACGATTCACAGTCCTTCGGTTCCTAGGCAATCGTGATCGCTTGTATTCAGCAGGCCTCAAGTGAGGAATCTGCATAGAATGTGTATATGAAAGCCATGAGAACAAGCTCAGAACTTTACTACTCGGGTTCAATCAACCTCGTATTCAGAGAGAATCATAAAATAACCAATCAAAATGTAACATAAAAATGGCATAGCTTTGAAAAATAAACCCACACTTCCTATACTGAAAAAAGGTTTTACATTTCTACAAGCTATACAGCAAGTATAATAAAATCAAGCGCCACAGTTTGTAAACTGCTTCAAATTGATATGCAATAAAGCATTCCACCATGAACAAATACAAAATGTCTACAATGATCAACATTTAGCACCGTTTCCAATTTTTTACAAACACACCAGTATTTCTGAAATTCAAACCGTTAAAACATTGTAAGCTATCAACTTCAACACTAAGCTCAAAATAAAGTAGAAAGCCCATTTACGACTAGCATTTCACGTCCTATAGAGCTTAGATCATGAAATTATAAAAAGATAACTAAGCTTAGCAGTATCATTAATACATGTTTAATTCGAAACAGAAAGTTCCAAGAGCAAACATGAAAAATGAACATAACAGAAACATCTTTTTTGCAACCAAATAAACAAAAGGGTATCTACATTTCATACTTACTTGATTAACCTAACAATAAAAATTGAAACTTCGAAATAAAAATTTCAACTTAAATTAAAAAAAAAAGCAAAAGAACTTACACCCTGAATCCGCTTTCCAGTAACAGGGCACTTAGGCCCACTTGCTCTCTTCTTAGTAGTCTGATAAACCAATTTCCCACCTTCAAAAACAAAAGACCCACCATTATTTTCGTACAAACCTCGAAAAAAACCGACAACAGAGCAGCCGAAGCGCATCATTTTTGGAACTTCAAGACTTACCTGGGGTTTTAACGACACGGTGTTGATTTGATTTGGTAGCATAGCTATGGCGACTACGATAAGTGAGCCTTTGAACCATCTTCTCTAGAGTCTTTTTTCCTCACCTCTCTTCTTAGAAAGAAATGCCAGAGACAGACGGTAAGGCCCAAGCGGCTGAGTTTTGGAGAAAGAGAATATATAAATAGGAATTCTTTTGTATGCAAGCCCTAGATCCTACGGTTAAAATTTGGTCTTCTTTGATCGACGGTTAGAGTTATAGTGAACGTGCGAATTTCTATTTAAAGATAAAATAAGCCAATTTTTAGTTAATTATACTTATATTCTAAATTGGTCTTTGCATGTTAATATATTCTAATTGAGTCCTCAAATTTTTTTAGTTAATATATTTGTGTCTTATTCTTAATCTAGTAATATGTTTATGCTGAAATATAAGCTCGAGTTTAATATGAAAATTAATCACGTGAAATATCGCAATCTACTCGAGATTGACTCAATCAATGATCATTCAACTCTCGAATCGAATGAACTCAATTCGAGCTCGAACTTGGCTCGAATTCTAAACGAGTCAAAGTGTCAAAACGAGATACTTGATACCCGACTCGAAAAGCTCGTGAGAAACTAAAAAAATAATATATTAAGATTTTAGGGTTTTAAATTAAATTATTAATATAAGGGTAAACTACACGGGTGGCCACCAAACTATAGTAAAAAATCATTTTGACCATCAATGTTTTAATTCGATTAAAAAGACCACCTAACTTTTAAAATGGTTTAATCAAACCACTCTCTGTTAAAAAAAACGGTACGTCTGACGTGACATTTCAATAATTTTTTCTATGTTGGAAATAAATAAGAACATGTCATGACGCCACATAAGAAAAACAGTGGTCTCTCTATTATTATTTAAAGTAACTCTAATCCTTTTATTTGAAAATTTATCCCTATTGTAAAAACCCTAAAGTGGCTATAGAAATAGAAAACATAGTAATCACCAATTTTCACCCTAGGTATATTAGTATAAATAAACAATAAAAAAGTAAGTAAAAAATAAAATAAAAAACAACAATGAGTAACAAGAAAATGGGACGGTTGTTCCTGTCATCACTGTGCTACCATCTACCTACCATTTCCATTCCTCTACTACACCTTGCCCCGACAACTTCCAAATCAGTTGAAGGCACCAGATCAAGGTTCACACACAAAAGGGTAAAATGTATTTTTTTTAATTGTGATATTGGATTGTTATAAAACCCTAAGCAATCTAATGTAAAAAGGGGGCTCTGGATTTAAAAAAAAAAACAAATTATAAAATGGCCCTCTTCTTCTCATTCGATTTACAGAAACAATGTAAAGGGGTCATTTTCTCACCATTTTCTTCAAGCAATAACAGAGGACAAAGATTTGTTGGATTTGTTTCAGTAACTAAATATAAAATTATATTTCTTATTTTTTTTCTTTTTATTTCCTTTTGAACTAACCTTACAAATTACAAATATACCTAAAAATTTTAGATAATGACCAAAATGAAAATTTTGAAAGTTTGATGGTCAAAGTAGAAAATTGGGAAAAGTTTAAGGAATTAAGTGGTAATTTTCCCAAAAAGAATTTTATTCCATAAATGGATTTATTTAGTGACCAAATTTTAAATTTGGTAAAGTTTGGTGACCAAAGTATAAACTTTGAAAGGTTTAGGGACCAAAATGTAATTTTAAAAAGTTACAAATGGGTCACGAAAATAAGAAAATAAAAACATTATTTTCACATTTTTAAAATGTTGGAAAATAATATTTAATGGTTTAATTCTAAGTTTAATTTGGACCGTTGGATTAAGGTGACTGAATTATAATTTTTGGAAATTGCAAGGGCAAAACGGTAAAGTGGAAAACTATTTTGTTCATCTTTGACTATTGAAAGATGATAAGGCTGATATTTCTATGATTTGGATGATGATAAGGATAAGTATCTAGGTTTTATGGTAATTATGAAGTTTCATTAAGGGTATATTGGTATTTTCCCAAGTTAATGAATTAAATATGAATTTAAAGGATGATAAGCATGATATCAATAAAAAATGTCATACCAAGATGTTCATATTCTCCAGCAAAGGACGTGAGATAACTTCCAAGGTAAGAAAATATTTTATTTTCAATTTTTGAATTAATTCCTTTGGAATTCGGGTTATGCCGTGAAATAGGAAAGTGATCTACGCGAAAAACGCTATCATTTGATACCAATATTTCTTTCTAATCTTGCTGGATTTCAAAGATCTCAAATCTACGGGTTTATGTTCATGATAAGGTTCATGAGATTGATGATGAATCTTGATGTTTTTGAGGTTGTAGATTCATATTCAAGCTTGTATGATGATTAGAACATGTTCAATCTTCCTAGAAATAATTCTATAAAATTCGGCCAAACTATAAGTGGGAGAACTTTGTGTTCTGATGAGAATTGATAAGGGATTTGATTGTAGAGATGTTATAAGGTTGATTGAAAGTTCATTTCATGCTTGAATCGAATCAAAATCGAGCAAAATCATGAAAACCCTAGTTTTTAGAACTTTAAACCATTAGGCCTTGGTCTTAAAGGATGAGAAAAATAATGGAAAATTAGATAAGGTCTGGAAATAATGTAGAAAGTATTCTACAAGCCTTAGAAAAATTTGGGGACCATTTTGTAATTTTTGAAAAGTTGGGGGACCAATTCAACAACTTTGGAAAAGTCCAAAGTTGTGAATGGTTGTATATTTGTTTAATAGTTGATGTACTACTTTGGAAAATGTTGTTTTGGAATTGAAATGAGTGTTTAGATGTGAAATATGACTATTTTGGAAGTTTAAAAAGATTGATGATTTAAGTACAATACTTGTATAGTTAGGGTACTTAAATGTAATTATGCTTCTGTAAAAGCATTTGAATGGTAATAATAATTTCAATGATGGAATTATTGGTATTAAGAATCTAAGTGATAAAATGGTGAAAGACCATTTTGTGTAAATTGGAAAAGTTGGTTCCAATATTAAAAGGAATTATTAAGAGTTAAGTATTTTGAGAGATAATGAGTTTCAAATATATTATGGAGTTATTATGGGATGTATTTATGTTAGTACAATACTAACATATGTATTATTATGTATTTGTGATTTTTACAGATTGTGTTTGATTTGTGATCGAAGCAAGTCAAATAGAAAAAGGTTTATTGTGGACAATAGTGAGGCACAAATATTTGGAAAAATTATAAAGTGTTAAGGTGAGCGCAATACATGCATGAAATTATACATGGATGTTTTATACATCATCAGGAAGACTTGCGATAAGTCGACCTTGTTTATATAAGCATGATATTATGTCATATTTTTATAAATTGACATGACATTGATATGTCAAAGTATGAAATTATAATGCATTGATATGGAAAATGTTATATTTTACCATGAATGTTATTTCGGGTATGAACTGCCCAATGTTAAATTATGATAATATACTTTGCTATGGATGAATTGAATAAAATATATATTATATGCCCTAGTAAGTCATTGAGGGACAGGGTATAGTTGGCATGCCATAGAGTATAGCAGTTGTAGGTTTATAATACACTTCAGTGTATATGGTGGGCATGACCTTATGTGTAATACACTTCGGTGTATATGGTGGGCACGACCTTATGTGTAATACATTTCGGTGTATATGGTGGGCACGACCTTATGTGCAATACACTTCGATGTATATGGTGGGCACGACCTTATGTGTAGCACTACGATGCAAATATTACTCGAATACCCAGGGTCCTCAGGGTTTTATATTGGGCTATTGTCTATAGTATATGGTTTATGGAATAATGGCAAGTGTATTGGTAAAATAAGCTTACAAGCTTATGGGGCTAAATGGTAAGTATTTTGCTAAAATAAGATTACGAGCTTATGGGATCAAATGGTAAGTAAATTGATAAGAAATTTTATATTATGTTGATCATGGTAAAATATTGGACATGTATGTAACATGATCTTATTGCATTTGTTTTTTACATTGAAAATCATGCATGAATTGTATTGCACTGTTTATTGTTTTAAATTGCCTCACTAAGTATATACTTAGCGTATGATGATTTTCACGTGTAGGTAAAAAGCCAAGAATAGAGTAAAGAATACAAGGCACTCCGAGCATCCAGGAATATACTACAATATCATTAAGACATCCTATGATGTAATTTTGACTTAGATAGTGGCATGTAATTATTAATGTTCAATTTGTTTTGTTGAACAAATTTGGAAACAAAATAGTAACTTTATAATGATGAAAGGTTAAGTTTTTTATGAGTTTTATATATATTTTGCTGAAATTATTGTAGCAGTGCATCGATATACTGTAGCAGTGCATTACACATTTTAAATTCGAAGTTTTTTTACATCGGTACACTGTTCACGGTACTGCAACAGTGCATCGGTACACTGTTCACGGTACTGTTCACAGTACTATTCATAAAAAAATGTTTTGCCTTTAATTTGTTATAACGAAACATGATTCATATGATATGATATTTTTATAATATCATTTTACCATATTAAGAAAATAAATTTTAAAGCACTATTGAATTGGAAATGGTTTTAGAAATTCAGGTGACATCTATAATCTGTATAGGTATATTATACGGGTTATGGGTGTTACAGTATACCTCTCGGCTAGACCTCTTACTGGCGATGGGAGCCCCTGTTGCTCAATTCAAATGGTGAGAAGGTGTAAGGTATCCTCGAGAGAAACATATTGAAAAATCAACTCAATCCAATGGTTGAAAGCTGAGATCAGATCGTTAGAAGTCGAGAGTTGTTCGGTCTATTTCACGACATTAGGGGTCCTTTTTCAAAAAATAGTGGTTGGATCTACAACCACCACAATGAGATGAATGAGCCTCGAAAGTTTGGTGGCTAACAGCCACCGACGACGATGATCGATACAGCACTCGACGATGGATAGAGGCGGTGCTCGTCCCCCGTTTCTAGAGAGAATGGAGAACATTTGAGAAAGATAAGAGAGGGAAAAAGAAAAAAAATTAAGGAAAAATGTATTTCCATATGAATCGATACTACGCCGTTTTGGGTCCTTAATAGTGCGTTTTGAGCTTCAAGGGTCAAATTACACGCACA